TGGGATATTCTTTGAGTTAAATATAAACATTGTGAAAAACGGATACAGCCGACAGAAAATAAATTCTTTGTCTCATCTGTATCTGTTTTAGACAAAAAGACGACATTATCCCCTACCTCTCTCCACCACTAAAAGACATGTAACATGCCATTCCTATGGATGGTGTTTTCTACATAAATATAAACAACAATAATATCGAGCTCTTGACCTGCACTACTTGCAGTTAGAAAGTTTACAATTGCTTACTGCATCTTATTCCGTGCGGCGATATTTTCAAACAGGCAATTTTGTTTTTAATAAAGAATCAATTTATGCAATTTCTAAGCTCAAATCAGCTGTATTTCATAAGACATATATGATATTACGTAATTCTGGCGAGTTTGAAGAGAGCATTTGTTTTAGTTATTTAGAGATGTATTGTTAAAAAGGGGCACATGGTTGCTAGATTTGGAAAGAACTCGCTTTTTTGGCAGCTCTCATTTGGCCTCTTTTCATTTGCTTATAACTGTTTGTTCTTAGTGCAAGCCATGACCTATCTTACGATAGTGTTAGCATATTGTTAAGCAGCATTCATTTCACAAATTATCATTTAGATTTAAATTTCGAAATTTGTGTATTGTTAACAGGGTAATAAGTGTTTCATAACGATTCTTTTTTCAAATGACAATTTTTACGTCTTGAAATGACGATTCTTACAACAATTTTTCCTTTAAAAAGACATAAATAATAAATCAGGTAACAAATACACGTATGCGAGAAATTTTTTATTGTTGATTGAGCCAAATGAATTCAAAACATACCTATAAAATTAAGCCGGAAGTATAGAACAGTCAAGAGCTTGCAGCGCACCCTAGCGTAGAAAACGTCATCCATTATGGAAGGATTAGCTTCTTGTTTTGTAATTCTACCTCTCACCCTACAATTCTACATTCTATCTTATTATTCTACTTCTTACCAACCATTCTGATACTTACTTTACTATTCTATCTTCTACTGTATTCTATCTTTCTATTGGTCTTTAGCCGACCGACCTGTGTAGGGGTCAGGAAACTGGCCCTGCATCAGAAAGGCTCTGGGGTCGATTCCAAGGCAAGGCATAGATGTTCTTTCATTCTCTGTACTATCTATCATTAGTGTGGGAAAAACGTTGGTCCACCTAATATGGCACCTTTGAAAGACTGGCCAAAAAATCTGTCCTTCGGATGCCTGTATAGACGAAAGGTCATTCCCCAGGAATACATCGAAAAAAAATTGACCTTTTTATTTGACTTCTCTAAAATTTTCGCTCTCTTATTGGAGTATCCAGTTTTATAAAGTAACGCTAATACCGCTGAAAGTTCTGGAAAATGTTTTTTAAGAAATAATGGTCGAAACGAATTGTTTTTCTATCGTAATAAATATTTTCTTAAAAGTTCTGAATACTAACATAGCAATATATATATATATATTAGTTTTTTCATCTTTTTGCATTTAATCAACTAAAATAACGAAGGACAGTAAACTCCAACCGTTTTTTCCTTTCTCCTCATCGGAAAACTGACTACTCCAATTAAGGAGGCGTTTGAATAAAACAGAAACCATTTTTCTTCCCGCCTTTCGTAAACAATATTCTCTCTCTTGATTTTTTTTATACCTTTCAAGAAGGATAGGATACTATTACTTAATTAGTCTGACATAGAATCCGGCAAAGACTAGTTTGTTTTTTCCTTTCTCCGGGATCCAGGAACGAGGGGGTGCGGTCGTGCGGTAAATGTCAACTTATGGGTAAACGAGTTTTTGTTCGCGACGCTCGGTACACTTCATTGATTTGGAAGAGTCTCATGCATTTTTCCCCACCAACTCTGGAATTCTAATCTGTTTCGTTGGAAAGAGTCCTTAATTAAATTTGCAAGGCTTTACACGTCGCAGTGATTGAATAAAAGCGAATCACGCGATTTATTTATAATGTGAAGTGAATACAAATTGTTTGTCTCTTTTCTGGAAAATGTTTTACAAATACTAAACAAATTTAAATTGCGTAAATAACAAATAATTGGGTTGTTATTTTGCAAGAAGTATTCATTATATTGTTTATATTTTTTTAATTTTATTTGTGACAACCATAAATATATTTATCACATTTTGTTTAATACCAACACAAAATATGACATTTTTAGGACAAAAGGGTTCGCGCTAAGAATTTCAAATTATTAGCCAAATATCAAAAGTATTCGCCAATTTTCGAAAGTCTTCTCCAAATTCAAGTCGTAACATTTTTTTATGATTATTTTTTCCCCCATAGAACACTATTTTACGGTAGTTTGTTTCTGGCTTATATTATTTGGACTCGATTCTAATGTGTCATGCGGCGCATCTACCCTAAATTACTGTAATCGAATAAAAAAATACTGATTCATTTAAAAAAATTCATTTTGACGTAATTTTGAGGACCAAATTAAATATATAGTTTTCTTTTCAGTGGTTGAACAGTTCGCCAAAACACAATGTTATTCGCCAAATTTACGATTTTATAGCATTTGGCGAGGAGGCGAATGCTTAGCGCGGTCCCCGTCAAACAGAAGGCTCCCTCCCCTGATTACCCTGCTCACCAACCCCAGTAGTTGCTTTTAATTCTTTATCATTTTACCTTTTCCTTAAAAGTTATTATTTTACACGAAAACAAATAGTATTTTGTTCGCAAAAATGGAATTAACATATTTTTGTACGAATGTTTTATTGATGTTAATTTGAACAAAATAAACGATTACCTGAATTTGAAGAATAATTGATTGTACTTAAAAAAAAAATAAATAAACTGAGGAATATAGATTTTGTGAAGCTGAGATAAATTATTTATAGTTTTACTCTTTAAGGCGACGCAAAGTGTTTTATATTTTTAAAAATTTCAATATAAACGTAAAGATATATTGTATCTGGCAAAATCTGATTTCCCTGTCTTGTATTTTTTGTTACTTTCAACATTGACTCAACCACCGAACGTACAAAAACAAGATCGAGAGAGCTAAATAAATATATTTGCAATATAATATAATAATAATATATTATGTTGTAAAGAGACACACTTATCAAATTATTATAGAATAATAAACCTTGTATAACAATAAAAATATGAAATACCAAAAATAGGCTGCAGAGAGAAAAGCAGGTCACTTTGCAAAATATTAAAAATACAATTGCGGTATTTTTAAGGGGACTATAAAATGCTTAATTTATTTTTCATCTTTTAAGTGTATTGATGTTAAAAGCATGATTTTCTATTCAGCAATGCAAGAAAATTCATTTCTCAAGTTGTGTGAAAATATGGAAATTTAAGTGAAATATTAATAAATACTTTTTTTTTACTTAAACAAAATGAGCCGGGATAGCCTGGTAGATAGGGCGCTGGACTTACGTTCGTGAGAACGGAAGTTCGAATCCAGCAGGCCGAAGACCCCCCCTGTAGTAAATGGTGACTGGTGCACGTTAAATATGTCTGGTCGGGCCGGGATAGCCTGTTTGGTAGGACACTGGGCCCATGTCCAAGAGGTCGTGCGTTTGATCCTTGCCTGCCGAAGACTCCCGTGTTGTANATTTTTAAGGGACCATAAAATGCTTAATTTATTTTTCATCTTTTAAGTGTATTGATGTTAAAAGCATGATTTTCTATTCAGCAATGCAAGAAAATTCATTTCTCAAGTTGTGTGAAAATATGGAAATTTAAGTGAAATATTAATAAATACTTTTTTTTACTTAAACAAAATGAGCCGGGATAGCCTGGTAGATAGGGCGCTGAACTTATGTTCGTGAGAACGGAAGTTCGAATCCAGCAGGCCGAAGACTCCCCCTGTAGTAAATGGTGACTGGTGCACATTAAATATGTCTGGTCGAGCCGGGATAGCCTGGTTGGTAGGACACTGGGCCCATGTCCAAGAGGTCGTGCGTTTGATCCTCGCTTGCCGAAGACTCCCGTGTTTTAAATGGTGACAGATGCACGTTAAATATGTCGAGTTTCAAAGTCCTCCATGTTTCCATAACAAATCATACCTCTGGGAGTACTGATCCAGGAGTTTCCTTGTCTTCTGGATTGGTTCAAAATTACAAGGCTACGGAGTTGAACATTAGCAGTCGTAAACCCAACAAATTGGATCGGCTGTTCAACGACGGTTATAAAATAAAATAAAATATGTCTGGTCAAAAGGTCCACCCTGTTCCCATAACAAACTATGCCTCTAGGAGAACTCAACTGGCGATTGATCGGTCAAAATTACGATCAGTGGGTGAATGAATTGATGTATGACTGTGTCCACACTATAAAACGGGTGTAACAGAAGTCGATTTCTTGACCTAGATGGCACCACTGGAAAACAAGAACAATCGCATCCCCATTGTCTTAATGGCCGACGTCAACAACAACTTAAACAAAATTAAAATTTTCTTTCTACATAATTTTTTTTTTTAAAAAAAATTACTCAATTTGAAATTTTTCGATTACAAATAAGGTAGATATATTATTTTAAATGTAAATTGTTATAAGGAAATTTTTTTTTATCACTGTTTAAATAAAATTTCAATTATTCTTTATCAATGGAATAACGCTGAAACGGCACATTGTGCTAAATCAAGTTTAATCATAGGGTAGTTTCATTGACGTGAGCTTAGAGCTATTGTCTATTTTTTCAAAAACGCATTTTAAATACTGTTCATTTTCATAGACAAGCTTTTTTTAATGTTGGACAACATAATGACAATGCGACAACCGATTTAAAGGACAAGAAAATGTAGAAAACTAAATTTGCAATTAACTGATTATAACTTTTTTTCAAAATTTTTGTGTTATGAAACTATGTTAAACACTTTTTATGTGATTATGTGAAACTAAAGTATGCTACTTTAATGGTAGAAAATTGTAATAATTATCTTTTATTTATTTTCAAGTAGCTCATATCGTTTTTTAAAATTGTAGGACATTTTAGATATTAAGACTACATTTGACACAGATTTTTTTTAAAATTTCTTTTCAGAAATCTGATCCGAAGGAAAAGAAATATTAAGAAAACAGTGGTGAGTTATATCAAAAATTTCTTATGTACTCTACATTAACATTAATTATTACTTGTAATAATTTAAACCTAAAAAACATGTGTTAAAGTGAGGTGTTAAAATTGTTGGGTGATAAGAACTTGCAATGCAACATTTTTATGTTTTGTAAAATATCATTTCAAACTTTTCAATTGCCGACCGATCTTGTGTAGGGGCCAGGGAACTGGCCTTGCATCGGAAGAAAAGTTCTGGAATCGAATCACTGGTAAGACATGGATGTTCTTTCATCCTCCTGTACTATCTGTCCTAACTGGGGGAGCAACGTTGTCCCATCTAATAGGGTGTCCCTGAAAAAGTGGCCAACAAATCTGCCCCGTAAATGTCTGCAAGGCGAAAGGCGATTCCCTAGGTGGGCACTGAAGCAAAAACATTTAAATAAAAGTGAAAAAAACTACTACCTGTTCACAAAATTTAAAAACAAAATATTTTAGGCATTAATGTAGAACTGTAAACAGGTCATAATGTTTTTCCTTTCCACAAGACGCACTTTACTTTCCAATATTATATCTTTCAAGAAGATTTTTTGCAAGATTCTAAAATCTTTTGAGGCTTAGTACATACACTTGTCTCCAAGATAAGCCAAGCAAAATAATCTATTTAAAGTCTGGTTAATAAGATGGCCGTTTTTATATTAGTAAAGCGAATCCAGAATTACGCAGTTTATCATTTTTGAGTGTCTTCAGTCGCTTCTAGAAGATATAATTTTGATTTTCAAATAAATTTTGTATCCAAGAAAGCATATCATTCTTGAAATTGAACTTGTGATATGGTGGGAGGAAAATATTTGGTTTTAAACTTCACATAAGTTACTTAGTAAGGGTACCCTGTGAAAACTACTACCTTTTCTTGATTATATTTTTACTGTCCTTTTTTAATTTTTTTTTTTTTGGTTTCTTACATTCTTTATGTGATTCAGATAGTAATAACATACTTCTTGTACTTCCTTAATTAAAATTTTCTCGTTACTTGCGAAAGAAGTTTGCGAAATTATTTTTTTTGTCAGTTTGTATTAAATATATTAACTGAAGTTGTTAAAAAAAACCCAATGATTTAAAAAAATAATTAAAGAAAATCTTGGAGATAAAATAAATACAGTTTCCTGAATTCTGACTAGAAACGAAATTTTATTCTCGGAAAAAATTTAAAATTCGTTACAAAGTACGATAGCAAAGAATGCTGTTGACTAAAAAAGCTTTAAAAAAAACTGATTTCTGTTGCACCGTTCCTACTGAAACATTTGCTCGGTTGCCTGTCGAATCATATGGACCAATCATTTTTGGTCAGAATGTAATTCGAAGACTATTTTTTTTAATTATCGCTTCTATTTAATTTATGGTCTTTCGAGGAAAATAAGTTTTTATAGCAATTTTACAAATTATGTTATTTTCAAAATCAATTGTCGTAAGAAATTTTAAGTGACGTGCTGGCTCAACTGTTTCCTGCATTGATAATCAACATTCGAGGCTTCTAAAATTTTGAAACAAGTCACCGGAATTTCTCGAATATTATTATTGGAGGAAGATGTTGATAAATATTACAGATTCAAACTGCTTGAGTTTCTGGAATACATGATTTATTGTTCCTCTCTTTAGACTTAAACCAGATAAGGCACATTTGTTCTATTTTAAATTGGAAACCCTCAGGAGATTGATGATAAATGTATGAAGGTGAAAAGGACTTCTTCCCCCAACCCTTTTACAAATATATCAATAGTATAAAGGAAAAACACACACATATATTTAATGCATAGAAAGCCTTTACTCAAAAATAACTTTTGTATAAGATTATTTTGGGATACTTTAAACTTTGAGTACTAACTAAATTCTTTTAATGTTAATAAATGCTATTCATAATTCTTTTTCATTTCCTAAATCATAGAGAAATTAAAATACTAAAATTTAAAATATTTTATTTGAAAATATCTATTTTCTTAAATTTGAGTCTCACATGTTTTCACACACTTGAATATTCGTTATTTTTAACTGTCTGAATTACATTACGTATTCTTAAGTGGATCCTCTTTTACAATCGCTTATTTACTTTATAATTTGTAAAGTTTCAAAATATGCTGCAATAAAACAGCATTCAAAATCAATTTTTTAGAACTTCAAAACTCTTTTCTAACAAATGTCCTCTTAAAACAGAGTTGTCAGGTATAATATTTTGTTTTGGGGAAAGCTAAAAAATATTTTATTAAAAAAAAAAAAACTTTGATAATTTTTTTAAAATTTTTTTTAATTTTTTTTTAGAATATGTGGTGAAAGTTCGAAAGGTGTATATAATGCACTGATGGTCAAAACTACCCGAATACGGTCAAATTAACCATGTTTCTGGCTCTATGGGAACACACACACACAAAAAAAACCCCAGATAATTTTCACCAAAGCGATTGTGTAATGACTTCTTGGAAAATTAATAATAAGATATTTTTTTATTACCATGCTGTTTGGTAGTAAATGAGGCAAAATTAGGTAATTTTAAATAAAATCAGTAGCTTTAACAGCGAAGTAAACTCTTGTTAATTTTGTTTTACATTGGTGGATTTTTTTCCCTATATAAGCTGTAAGTTAACATCTGTCCCGCAGTGGTCTGATCGTTAAGACACGGTTCCCAGCAGATCACCGAAGTCAAGCATCACTGGCTGCGGTCAGTGTGCGGGTGGGAAACCACTTGGATAAGTCTGCGTTAGAACCAAGGGTGTGCGGTATTAGTCCTCGTTAAACTGTTCTACCGTAAAGTGCTCGTCTTCGCGTGCAGGTCGTCGGGATACAGAAACAGGGGTGCCATCTCTTCTGCCTAGGATCAAAATTGTGATGGCATGTCTTCGGATCATCCTCAGGGATGTTTCCCAGACCGTCGCCAATAGCCCATTGCGCAGCTCTAGTGAGACGTAAATGAACTACAAACAAACAAGTAAGCTAACATCTACCAACATTTGAAATTATAAAAAATATGCACTTGTAAATGTACAAATGCCTGAACAAGGCTGAACTAAATCAGTAGCTTAACGGTTGCGAAATAAATGCTACATTAAAGTAAGTAAAATTGCTAGATTAGGGCTGTTCCAACATCCTAAAACGGAAGCGTAGAAGTAGCAGGTTCAAATCCCACCATAATACTGGATTCATCTATATTTATTGTTACGCACACATACGCAGGCTTGTGTGCTAATTACAAAGATCGGCTAATATGCCTTCGCCAAGTTGACGTCCGGATAGCACAATATAGAGAAAGGTAGTTCACAGCCTGTGATAGGATGGGATTCAAACTAGCTACCTCCACGCAGCATTAGTCGAATATTTGTAATGTTTTTTTTTCTATAATTCGTTTGAGCAAAATATTTTCTTAAACTTGAATAGTGCTTGTAAATGGTGTTTTCTAATGAGCGCAGAAGTCTTCATATGCAAATATGACAACTATTTTGTTTTGCACTCATACTGAGGATCATATACTCAATATAAAAATTGTCTTGTAAATTCTTCTAAAATTAATTGACAGAGATTTTCAATGAAAATAAAAAACTAGCAATGAAATATGTCTGTTTTTATTCGATTTATTGCAAGATCAGGAGTAGAAGTCATGCTAGCATTTAAATAAAATATTATCGTTAAAATGTTTAAAATTAAGTGAAAATTGTATGGTGATCCGAAATTTTTCCAATAATCAATGTAAATATTTTAATTGTGGGAACTTAAGAATCTCTCTTGAGTCAATAGTAGAATCAGAAAAGTTTACATTTTAGTTATAAGCAAATTTACTTCTAAGGATACTTGAAATTTTTTTATTTTTATATCTCTATTTTAAGCAAACGAACATCAGAACAGCATTCAAAACTTCAATGAGTCAATTTTTTGATGCTAATAAGTGTATTATATTATGCAACATCCGTAGTTTCAATTAAATAAAAAAAATCAATGACTTTGAGGATATTTAGTTTTTTTAAATGTAAACATAACAGTAAATTTTTTGTCATAAAATAAACGGGCACACAATTAAAATCAAATTTTCCTTTACTATGCAACACACGATTATTAAAAAATGCAGAAGTAATAACAGCAATAGATAAGAAAAGCATCTGCATGATCAGAACAGTATATAACTATAAATTGTATAAAGAAAAGACATTAGTGAAAAAGGTTTCTAAATAAGTTGAAATTTTGGAAAAAATAATTTGGAAGTTATGAAATCGAATTTATGTAATTTAAAGACTTATTTTATCAAAATAAGTAATAGCCAAGCAAAATAATCTATTTAAAGTCTGGTTANTCACGTTAACAATTATGCTGTAAAATATTTGTCAGAAAGAAAAAGTAGTTATGAAAGTTATATATATGTATTGCATAATAAATAAATAAAAAAAACACGAAGAAAATTAAGAAAAACAATAAGTTTCATTTATTGCGCAGCGCTTAGGCTGCAAGTAAATAGAAGTCATAAAATAAGTTCAAAATGAAGATAAAACAAAGGAAAAATACAGATTAATGAAAAAAGGGGGAAAAGAAAATTAATAATAAAAATAACAAAAACAGGGGAAAAAAATCCGAAAGGAAAAAGAATGATAGCGGTCAGAAAATAATTTAAATTTGTATTGTCTATCTGGAAGCTTCATTTAAAATAGAAGTGCTTTAGCTAAGGGGAAACAGGGCTTGCAAAAAATTACAATTTAAAAATATCGGAATTATTTGCTTTAAATCAAGTTTTTTTATTCAGTTAAGATTTTTTTGATAATTTTACATTTATTTGTCAAATCATCTGACACAATGTATGCATAATTTGGTTAGAAATATATACTGCATATGAGAATAATGCAGTAAAACTAGTTAATATTTCTAACCAAAATATATAAAACAATCATTCAGTAGAACGAAATTGAAGACAGAAAAGCAATTCGTCAGCTAAAAATCTGACGAAGAGTAGATTTGTTTAGAGTGGACTACATTAATAAAGACAAAATACTCTAA